CCTCAGCAAGGTTCCTGATGAACTGTTCCTTTGTTCCCTCTCAGAAATGCCTTGAAGGACTCCCACAGAGCTAATGGGTTTATCAGGGTTTTGAGTTCTGTGAACCGATCAGAGACTGCCATGGCGAATCTCCAGGCTCACTCCTCCCTCAATCTGTCCATGTGAAACACCTTAGTAAGTTCTAACAGGAATGTGGTCGATCTCGGCCACAGTATCCATATCGCTATACCATATCCAGTGATGCGGGTTGGAGCGCTGATACCAGCAAACAGAAACTCTCAATCTCTGGGACCTTGCAAAAAAAGAGGCTGTTCATAGTGCTGGGATCAGCTCCGAGCCATGAGGAACGACACCCAACTGTAGCCAGCTTGATCACAACTGGATACCACATTGTCGCCCAGAACAATACGAGTGAGTTTTTTTTTTATCTAGGGGGAGGAGGACTGGCAAGGTCCTCCCCAGAGCCACCCATTGACCCTTGGGGCAGGAGTTCATACAGAGCGGGGGCTTGTCCTCATGCCGGTGGGCCATGACTCCTCCTGCTGCTCCGAGATCCCCCACAGTTTAGCCTGGGACTGCAAGGTACCCAGTTTCTATGGGTGGCCACGAGGAAGTCTCTCTCTATTTATCTATATGTGTGTGTGTGTGTGCGTTCGTGTGCCTGTTAATAAAAACGCATGTGCATTACAATAATTTTATGCCTGGGTGGGCCCATATACATGTTTTAATAAATTTATGTCCGATTGTTTTTGTGAAACAGTACAGTGATATGATACTCACTAATGTCATTAACATCATATTACATTGTGCTTGCATTCCGAATTACCCAGTAGCTCCTCACAGAGAGGTCAATTCTGAGATTCCTGACTAAAAGGGTATGATCCTTACCCTACCTTGTCCGAGTACCTTACCTTCTGTGGGAGGTGAGAGTACAACTCCTAGTTTGGGCCACTGTCGGAGTTGTGAGTTGTGAAATTTTAGTAAATAAGTAATATAAATATCAATATAAATCGCTTTGACTTTAAATATTAGCTCACAGGCCCCAGGGTAACCGTTACAGAGTAGAAATAATAAAATACACTAAGAATACAAAAGGTGAGGTTTTGTTCTGACAAGTCTTAATCCGCCCTCTCTCTGGCCTCCTCTAGCTTTCTTGTTGTCCGGCTATCTGTGTTTTGTTCCTGGGTGTTCAAATTGCTGTAGAAAAAGGTATAAATGATGATGAATATCTTGTTAGAGATTATCTGACATAATGTAAGAGATGTATTTGCCTAGTCTCTGTTATATATTTGTCAAAAAAGAGAAAAGAACATATTTTGCAATTATGTTATGTTAAGAAATGTTAATTGCCTTTTGATCTCCTAAACTTGTGCAGCGTAAATTCACACAGTTTCACAAACTCACTTTTTTGGAAAATATATTTATAGATAATAAAGTATATTTATAGATAATAAAGAACGAGGAACAATATCAGGAGAATATATGACCACACGACACCTAGACATTTTTAATTCCACTGTAACCATTGGATCATTTAAATGGGAACTAGTCAATAGAAAAACTAGTCAACAGAAGCTCTTTTGACCCTTTACAGGCGTTGTAACATTTTCTCTCCAACACTGTACATCATCTATAATATACATCACTTACCATAATTCCACTGACGATACATCATGCATGCAGATGATGCACTCAACTTGTAACCCAGCTTTCAAAATTAGAAAGTGTATATCTGTAATAGCAAGGGATAGTCGGAACATTGAATATAATAGAATGATAGATGAAGGTGATTATTACTGAATACCAATATCTCTCAGCAGATAAATTAATCTGCTGAGAGATATTACCATTTAAAATTATTTGAAGCATTCTTAGATACGCCATGGTAGTTTGCGCGGCAGGTGTCTGACTAGTGGAAACCAGGAACTAGATGTGTCGGTTCAGCGTTTCGCCTAAGTCAGGGTTTGTCAGTTTCAGATATTGAGTGCAGGAAGGGTATTAACAGACCAGAATCAGTGGTAAGAAAGCCTGCCCTGGAATTACCACATCAGACCAAAGCCCGAATTTCGACCACATTTTTTTCCAGTACACATATGAACTTTCGATTAATGTGAAATGCAAAATTTATAGCAATGATGCAAAAATAATGTGAACTGGCAGGTCTATGTTGTACCTTGTCGTACGAGGATAATCAGACCTTCAAAAAAATATATTTTGGTTTACAAAGTATATATTAACACCTACCAATACAGTAGGGAGCTTGTTTATTCCCAACCTTATTTCCATTACAGGAACCAGTTATGTTTTAGTATTAATGACCATGCCAGTATATTGTCTGATTTTTAATGGGAAACAGCACGTGACTTGTGTGAATCTTTGAGAGAAATCTTATGCAACCAGGTCACAAAGCACTTCCTTATTGACAGATCCACCCCCATTTAACCTGCAGAACAAAGGTAGAGGCCTTGGCGAGATATTTGTATTGTTCTGGGTGACTTCAATGCGATCAAGCTGGCTACGAGATGCCTGTCGGTCCTCATGGCTCAGGAGCTGATACTAGGAGCGAGAATAGCCTCCTTTTCCGTGACTTTGCTAGGTCCCAGAAATTGAGGATCTCTGGCTCCTGATATCAGCGTTCTGACCTGCATCGTTGGACTTGGAACAGCGATACGGGTACTGTGGCCAAGGAGATCGACCACACCCTTGTTAGCACTCAATGAAGGATCCTTCAGAACTGCAGGGTGTATCGAAGCGCCGAGTTCTGTGAAACTGATCATAGATTAGTTGTGGCCGGGGTTTGCCGAAGCTATCTCTGGTCGTTTCACAGTATTCCAGGACCTGACAGACCCTACTCTTCTGTGGGACACTTTCAAGCGTGGAATGCTTGATCCCGCCCATGAATCCATTGGTGAACGTCCAAGAGCAAAACAGAATTCCATCTTGCAGGAGACACTGGAAGCCACAGATGCTTGTCGTGCGGCTCGATTGTCAGGGGATCGCAACCTGCACCATTCTCTAGTGCGTAGGACTAGGTCACTATTAAGAAGTGATAAGGAACAGTTTATCAGGAATCTTGCAGAGGAATTCGAAAGCCATTTCCTAGTAAATGACCTTCGCCCTGCCTACCAAGCTCTGAGAAAGCTGAACTTCAAGCCCTTCTCACAAATGACTGCAGTCCACTCAGCAAGTGGCCAGATAATCTTAGATCCTGATGGGCCTTTGGGCTGAGTATTTTGAGCAGTTGTATCAGGTTGATCCACCAACAGTTAACATGGATGCGGGTAATGTTGAGATTCCTCTGCCAGACCCATTCATCAGCAAGGATCCACCCTCCCTGACTAAAGTCAGAGGGGACGATTTTCAAGCCGAGGAGTGGTAAAGCAGCAGGTTTTTGTGGCATCCCAGCTGAATTGTTAAAGGCTGGTGGAGAACCTATGTCAAGGGGCCTGCATGCAGTCCTGTCTGCCATCTGGCAGCCCAGTACCATTCCCCCTGACCTGCTGAGGGATGTAGTCATCCCTCTCTGGAAGGGGAAAGGGGATTGGTGGGACTGCTGCAATCACCGAGGCATTACACTACTCAGTATAGCAGGCAAGGCACTCGTGCACATACTACTGAGATGTATCAGAGATCACTTGCTGAGACACCAAAGGCCGGAGCAGTCTGGATTCACTCCTGTTAAATCAACAATAGACCGCATCCTGATGCTTTGAGTCATTGTAGAGCGCCGTCGTGAGTTCGGACATGGACTGCTTGCAGCCTACATCAACCTCAAGAAGGCATTTAATACAGTGCATCGAGAATCAATCTGGGAGATCCTGAGACTAAGAGGAATTCCAAGAAGGATTGTTAGATTAATAGCAAATCTGTATACAGGCACTGAAAGTGCTGTAAAGTGCATTGCATTTAGCAATGAAGCGAAGCCCCTGGGGCTAGAGGTCTCCTGGACCAAGAACAAGAATTTTGTGGGACTACTAGGAGACCCTGTGCAGTGGGTACATGCTTGCAGTGAAATCATCGAGAGTTTTATATACCTCGGTAGTGCAGTTCACGTGTCTGGGCCGTCAGACCAGGAAGTCAGTAGACAGATAGACCTGGCCTGTCATGAAATCTCTCGACAAGAGTATTTGGAGATGCCTGTACCTGTGCAGAAGGACCAAGTTACATGTCTTCAGGGCCCTGATACTGCCAGTTTTACTATGGCAGTGAAACCTAGACCCTATCTTGTGCTGTGGAATTTCGTCTTGATGCCTTTTGTGCCGGATCATGAGGTACATTGGCGGGACCGTGTGTCCAACCAACGGTTGCACCATGAGACCGGTACAGGACCTGTTACATGCAGAATCCGTAATCGCCAACTCAGGCTATACGGCTACTTTGCTCGATTCCCACAGGATAACCCTGCCCACCAGGTTGTTTCTGTCCGAGATAATCCCAGGTGGAGGAGGCCTGTGGGACGACCAAGAAAGTCGTGGTTTGGGCAGATCGATCAAACCTGTCGTGAGGAGCTAGAGATGGGCCGGGCCCCTGCCTGGCGGCTCACCTTGAGGGACCCTCGCAGGTGGAAGCAAAGGGGGGATGCTGCTATGCGCCCCTGCCAGCGTTAGCTCCTAATTAATGATGATGAAACTCCAACACAAGCACACGCGCCCACATACGTTCACGCACAAGTTCGTGGCGCCCTAAGAGTTTCCACCCACATCTGTACATAAACAGGTGCATACGCAATCAAATGTGAAGGGTAATGTCATATTACTGATAGGTGCGCAGTTCTCCGCAGTCTTCAGGCAACTACGGGTAAGCTTACAGCCTTTTCCGCTCAGTGAAAGATTTCAATTTTCTTTTCTTTTTTTTGGAAATCTTATCTGTAGTGAATAAATCAAATTTGTCATACGAGTGACAAAACACGATCATGAAAAGTGTAGTAAAAGGTTAAAGACATACGATATCCAAAAGAAATACATGTATGATTTTGTACACTTTGTTCCTTCCTGACAGCCAAGATGAAGATATCGTTTCTCCTATTTGGTATTTTATTTGCCACAGTGGTATGTTCTGTCATTTTATGTCATAGTTTTCGTCTAACATGAGAACTGAAGCCTTGAAGTATATAATGAAATTCAATTCGACAAATTAATCCATTAGTGGCTGACAAATAAGTATCAAAGCATGATAGCAAATTATGTAATTCTTTTAAGTCTTATGAAAATTTCCGTTAACGAATAAACTCTTATTTATAAAATTCGAATAAACTTTTATTCTGGTGCTAAGGCTGTATTCGGAGCAGGTCTATTGGACGAAGGACCCGCTGCAGACACGAAGCAGCTCCCGAGAAAAGCGAGTTTACATCTCCGGAAGAAAAGACAAGAACCAATTCCTGCCCTGTTTTCTGGAAGTGGTATGGTAGCACCTGTTGCCGTCCATAATGCCCACGGTGCCGAAGACGGCGATGGCAAAGACAAGGATGCAAAGCACGATGTGGATGTGAAAGTGGACATTAACGCTCACAAAATCCGATTGGCCTCCATCGACATAGACGTCGACATTGGTCGGTAACGTTCTCATTCTGGTATTGTGAGACAAGGATGAAATAGATGTCTTAATTTGGATTATCCATCTTTCTCGTTTATGTATATAATTTCGTTGAGAGTGCTGTGGTGTCGCATGTTTGTTTAT